CTAACCTGGCTCTTTGCCTGAGCTTGCTGATAAAAGACTGGCTAACTTTTAAAAAAGTCTAAAAACATGAGATTAGGTTTGGGTTTTAGACACTCAAAGGAAGCCTGACTTTAAACAGTGGCAGGATGAAGACGACAGGCTGCTTTCCAAACTTCAAACATCATCACATGAATTCAGGAATTCATAGCTTGAATTCATTTTTGTGGTATAAGCCAAAAGGTGGTACACATTAGGAAAATGCACCTGTTCAATGCCTTCCCCAAAAGCAGGAAATCGTGAAAAGCAGCCAGCCTGGTTTTAGTGCTGTTGACAGGAACCACAAATGGAACGTTGGCCCATTCCATCTTTTCAGACCATCTTTTGAGGGACAATGGTCAAAACAGGTTGGTCCCCTTATAGCAGTAGCTAATGTATTTCTTTTGTGTGAAGCGATTATCAGCACATGCAGGGAAAACAAACCACCTGACACCATTTCACTCTGCGTGCTAAAGGCACTCTGAGACCATGGCTGTGAGGCGTCATACAGGAACCAGCTGGTGGGGTGCTTGGAAAATAACCCCTTTGCTAATAAATATTATCAGAAAGAAATCAATTCCTGCTGCAGATGGAAACTAAATGGAACGCAACAAACAGAAGAGTAAATTTTGTTCACAAGGCTGGGACCAAGCTGGTGGTTAAAACCTGGGTTGGAGAGACTCCTTCTCCAGACACACAGGCCTCCTGCACCTGGTTAACACTACTCAGGTGAAAACCCTCCCCAGGCAGGTAGTTAACCCTGTGAGCAAAGTTATGGTTTTATTTTATTATCTGCAGGGTCAGGACTGCAGATTTACCTTCTTCCCACCCAGCACTCCTTGCGTTAAACCCAGTCCTTCAGGCAGGCACACCGCCCAGCCCTCCACCTCGCTTTATTTCCTTTTCCTCCCCTGCATTTTATTTGACTCCGAAATGAAAACCGGGGAGAGGGCAGCAGGTTAGAGGAAAGCCTGCAGAGGATTCCTCCTCCCCAGATTAGGATTTAATTGTATTCCTAGTGAGTCCCTTCTGGTTGCGCTCGGTCTTTCAGATGAATGTTTCATCAATATGATTAGGATCACATCCCTCAGTCTCGTCTATTTACACAATCGGTTGTGACAGCTCAGAGTATAGTACTCCCTAAAGGAAATATTAGATACCACCCTATCATTTTATTCAAATCATATTTTTTGCACTCCGCACTTTCAGCCTAATGTCATTCTCCCCTGGATTACATATTTGTGATATCCAGCAAGCACTAAAAATCCTTCCGATAAGGATTAGATTAGTGTTTGTATTAGCCATCCATAGTCGTATTATCATGAACAGGGCTGCGGAGATTTTTGGAAGGGGAGGAGCGGGCTTCAGATACCTCAAGGGGCTGGGGAGTTGGGCTTGTATATATATATATATAAAAAAAAAAAATGTGGGTCGAATAATAATAGCACCGGTGGCGACAAGACCCCATTTCATGGCCGAAGGGCCCTTCGGCCCCGGCGCCCTGAGGCGGCCCTGAGGGGAAGGCGGCGGCCGCGGCGGCTGAGGGGGCCGGTAAAAAAAAAACGTTCCCGGGAACCCCCCCCTCGCCTCAGTATTAGATACCACCCTATCATTTTATTCAAATCATATTTTTTGCACTCCGCACTTTCAGCCTAATGTCATTCTCCCCTGGATTACATATTTGTGATATCCAGCAAGCACTAAAAATCCTTCCGATAAGGATTAGATTAGTGTTTGTATTAGCCATCCATAGTCGTATTATCATGAACAGGGCTGCGGAGATTTTTGGAAGGGGAGGAGCGGGCTTCAGATACCTCAAGGGGCTGGGGAGTTGGGCTTGTATATATATATATATAAAAAAAAAAATGTGGGTCGAATAATAATAGCACCGGTGGCGACAAGACCCCATTTCATGAGGCGGATGGGCGTGAGGGAAGGCCGCCGGGCCCCCATCTTCGTGGCCTCAAGCCCCTGGGCGCCATTTTCCCCTTGGGGCCGGGGCTCCACGGCCGCCCACCGGCGGCTCCCCCAGCCGGTAATCCCGGCGGGAGGGGACATTTTTGAGGCGTTAACAGCACCGCAGACGCTACCGGGGGCCTATTCCCGCCTCGGCCGCCGCCTTCCCCTCAGGG